CTAATGGTGATATCTTTGTTCGAAAGGGATCACCGGATGTCGAGATATCGAGTTCCAAAGTGACAAATTCATTTTTGGGGGTGTGTATGAATGTGAAGAATCAACCAATAATAATTGTGGCATTAGCATTGGACGTTAGATCGTGGCTTTTGTTAAGGTGGAGTGGCGTCATATTACATTCACTCACAAATCCAAATTGCATCATGATGACTGCACTTTTTAAATAACTTTATCATCAGTCATCTATCACACTACTACTTTATTAGGAGAAATTGAAAAAATTCTCAGGCCGTGTACGTACACAATTGGTTTATAACAACCACCGCCCCCACTATAACTATATTCACACGTACACTCGTCGTTATTTTTCCATTATTTTCTACTGTATCTTTTTTTTAGCGTTTCTTAAAAGAGAAAAGGTAACTACTCCAAAAAAATATTGCATATATATAGAGAGACTAGAACCTTTTATTTATTTTTACTTTATATTCTTTTTTTTCTGTCTGAATTTATATCGCTTCACTTCGATGCACGATTTAGAAATTAAAGAAATGGATAACACTGAAGATATTGTACGTGCACCACAAGCTCCAAGCCACTCTGAAACATTGCAAAACGGCTCCACGAAGAATCAAGATAGAAGCATGGATAGTAAGTTTGACGACCCGAAGCCTTATAAAACTGATGGCAATTCGAGCTCTCCTGTACCAGTTCTACCAGTACCAATTCTTGAGCAGCACAGGACCGAGAAAGAAACCGAAACCGCTTCTCCGAACGAGGGTAAAACTTACTCTCCAGAGCGGATTCAACGTATGTAAAGAAAAATACAACTAACAAAGATAGTCTCCTGTTATTTAATTTTTTATTCACATTTACATTAATAAAATTTTAGGTACTTTGAATTCAGTGAACACGCAAGGTATGAAATAAATATAGAATTAGCTTTGGTTTGAGAACTGTGAACTTGAAATTTAGTACACGCGCGTAATGCAGAACGACCATTTAGAAACTTCAAGTCTTCATTTTCTCTTCGCATTAATTTATACACTACTAATCATGCTTTGTATTGATTTCTCGCTCCAATTTTGGTATTATAGCTCGATATCTCGTTGAATGGGAAAATACAGTGCACTCGGGATCAGCTTTAAGCGCGGTTCTCGTATTCCTGTTCTTCACTGCCAATTATTCATTGTTCAATACCTTTTGTTTCTTGGCGATAGTCTTGATAGGCGCTGATTGGGCATATGTGTTTGCAGCCAAGCAATTCAAAACTTTGTTCAATCAAGATGCTGTGAATCCTCACGAGTATGAATTTTTTTTTTGTGTTATCCATTTTTTTTATTGCTATTACTATTTTGATTACTGTTACTATTTGAAAATATTGATCGTTTTTTTTTTGTTTGAAAAAAGTAAATATATAAGGAATCCACCTCACATCTCACGGGAACTTGCCAGGGAATACACTGATCTGTGGGTCGATATTATTAATTTCGTGTTAGCGGAAACTACTAAAATTGTATTTGTGGAGGATCCATATCGAAGCATAAAGGTTTGTTTTTATTCCTCTATTTTATTGCTCTGTATAATTTTTGACTCGATTATTTTTTTATTGCAGTATGTTACTATTTTCTATCTCACATGGACGGTAGCTTCTTGGTTCTCTTTCCGCTTTCTGATCGGAGCTGGTAATTGGATAATTAAATATCAATATATTATTATTGAATTATTTTCTTCTTACCTTTATAAACTAATTTACATTTTAAAAAATTGTAGCGGCTGTTCTCGCCTTTGCAGTACCGAAATTATACAGACGAAATAAAGAATTGGTTGATAAACATCTCAATCAAGGGTATGAAGTAGTCCGTGATAATGTCAACAAGTAAGCTTCGAGCTCGACTCTCTTTTGGTTTATTTCTTTTCATTTATCTCTGTCATTATTAAACATTTTTATTTTTGTCAAACTATTGACACAAAGGGGAGTCAATGTCTCTTATCAATACGCCACACCTTATATCGGCAAAATGAAAAATTTTGCTGCCTCAAACGGTTTTGGCATGAAGAAGAAAGAGTAATATTTATATATTAAAAACAATGAATCATCATAATTATGAGCAATCAATAACAATAGTATGGGTGTTGAGTGTGTTTGATTCTTGCATGGTTTTTTCAACTAAAAATATATCCATCATTATTAGCGCATAAAAGAATAGATCATGGTAATAATTATCTAACTGATAGTGATGCCGGTGTTTACTTCCCCCACTCTATCTTATTTCCCCTTTTTCTATTTTTCTGTAAATACCGATCAGTTCACTCTTTAATGAACAATGCAATCAAAATAAAATTTTCATTTCATTATTTTATTTCAGGTCTATACTTTTGTATATTGATAGTTCATTTTCAGGAATTAAGCAGGATTGGTATTACCATAAACCGATATGAGTGAAGTCAACTAAGTTATAATGACGCATAAAAACACATGTCATCAGCTAACTTAGCTTACGTATGCATAAATACGTTCGAGAAATTTCCACTAATAATGGGAAGGCACAAGTATAAATATAGATTAAACTGTTCACGGAAATTTTTGATATCTCTATTTAATAAGCTTTCTAAATGGCTGCTATCGCTACTTTAGGTGAGGAATACCATGATACAGTATACACTTGAAGTAATTTGGATAGATAGATAAAATATATTTATTTAATATTTATAACTGATAAATTATTAATTATTGATATCGACTTCTTCGATTCTATCGATCAAAAAAAAATTCTATAGTTAAACCTCCTCAGCCTTTCACCCTTTACTTTGCTTCTGTATGTACATATTGTAAGTGAAATACAAATCTGTTAGATGATCCACTTTAAGAATCAAATAAAATCTTACTCTAATCCCAAAAGCTCATCGTGTACGAATCGCGCTGGCAGAAACCAATCTCGCGAATGAACAAAGCGAAATTGATCTACAAAATAAACCGTCGTGGTACACGGACATATATCCCTTGGGAAAAGTCCCGACTATTAAATACGGAGACACGTTATTAGCCGAGAGCTCAATCATCGTAGAGTTTATCGCGGAATTGGCTCAAGAGACTTCCAAGTATTTTTGCTTACTTTTTATTTGTGTTTAAAAATGTAGAGTTTTTTAATGGGTATTCCGTTTTTTGTAATTAATGTATTGATTGAACGGGATGGATAAAGTATTCTTCCAAAGGATTTGGTTCAACGAGCACAAGCACGGATATTTATTGTTTTTTTTGGAAAGTTCTCGGGGTTGCTTTGGGCCTTAGTAAAAAACCAGGATGACGAAAAAGTTCCAGAATTGTCGAAAAACTTGTTTTCCTTTATTAGAGAAGCATGTATTTTATTTCTCTAAATTGTTAATGATACCCATCGAATCGTGAATTAAATTTACTGCCTATACACCAAAAAAAAGGTAAACGACCAACTAGTAAAACAATCCCCCACCGGCCCTTACTTTCTCGGTGAAGCATTCTCGATTACAGATATCGCCGCGGCACCATTCGTCGCGCGTCTAAACATCTCACTTGAAGTCGGTATTATTCGTGGCAATATCAAGATTCCCACAGGTGAAGGCTACGAGCGGTATCATCAGTGGGCTAAGTCGATCACTTCACGTAAGAGTGTCAAGGAAACTTTACCAATGGCTACGGAATTGGTTACTGCTTACAATCGAATTAGGAATCAGTCTTCGCAAGAGTAGTAGCATGTGTTGGTTTTGATTTATTTATTGTAAAGATTTGATGCAAATAAAATTCATCTATAAATAATAGAGAAATTATATGTACTTAATGCCAGTATTTATTTCAAGTCTGATTTTTCTTTATTGTCAATCACGAAATAAACGATTGTTTGCATGAAATCCACCAGGGCGACCCCCGAAAGTTCGGGCCACGTGATAATTCTTTGATGACGTCAACGATGCGAAAAGGGTTA